ATATAAATATATCATGGTGTGTTTCTCGCATTTGGTTTAGAAATACAAAGATTATCTCGTATATGGTATTCCGATCCAAAAATTTATATCTTGCTATAAAAATAAATGGATAGATGTTATATTATAATGGCAAAAACGATTCAAGAACAACAAACATAAGAATTGTTGGTGTGAGATTGTTACAAGGATTTATAGGTTATAGATTTAGTGTGGTGTTGGGTGAATTTGGGGAAAGAGACTATGAAACACCAAAAGCAGAAGAGAGGAACATATGAATTTTGGGGGAGACTTTGAACAGTCATTTTCAGTGGAACTTCGCCTAACTCTTCAAAAAAACACATAAAATATGTGAAAATTAATTGCCTTTTCATTAACAAAAAAAAAATTGATTGTCTTTTTCACTCTCATTTTTTTTTTTCATATTTCTATATTTTCATTCTATGCTAAACCACAAATTTGTTGCAACGTATTGCTATTACTCTGATCTTGTGTATAGAATAATGTATGTATGTTATGTGCCCCAAAGCAACGGAACAATGTATGTAGGTTATGTGCCCCAAAACAACGGAACGTTAGAAACTTTCTTTATCGACCAACACGAGACTTTTCAGTGATTTACTCGGACACTTCCCGAAAAGTAATTTCGAAAGATCACTTATCCTAAAACTACTAAGGAGTGAACACACTTAACTTTGATATTTTTTGGGATAAACGTTGATACATCTTGTTAGTATGAGTATTGAACAAACGCATTCAATTAATTTCTTTTTTTATGTTAATCATTGATTGTATAGTGATACACGCACAGAGCAAAGAAGTCTTGCTCGTTTTCCTTCAGTGAATTGCGGTTTGTACGTGCGCATCTTATATTGCCTTAGAACAACGAATGAAGCTAGCTTAAGACCAGGGGATACTTGGGAACTCACTAAGGTATTCCTATGGTTAGGTTTCAAGAGGATATCCAGGCCAAAGGGGGCTCGGAGTCTCAACCTACAAAACGGACTAAAATAGAGCACTCGAGAGCACTCGATTTAGGTGATAGATGGAAGGAAAGTTTCAGGCCAAACGACAGCCAAAGCAACCTTGAATCCACTACGGTTTGACCTTGCACAAGGGTGACATACACACATGCCCAGAAGGCGATATTCTCGGGCACACAAAGAAGAAAAAGAAAAATGCAACTCGATTTTTGTTCGATTCAAAGTTTGATCATTCTTGATATACAAAGGCCTTTAAATAGGTTAGAAACACAGAAGAAAGCAAGGGAAATCCGTGCATAAGGAGGAGCTAACAAAACACTAAAGAAAGGTAGTGGAAACAAGACACCATAAAGTAAGAAATAAGTGGAAAGTTGGTGGAAGTTGAAGGCCAACGTCTTGCAACGGTTAGGAGGCTTAAAAAAGGTCTTCATAAGGTTGAAATAATGTAGAAATCTTCCCAAATTCGTGCTTGATAAAGCTGGCCGAAATTTGGTACAAAGGTGGTACTATATCCTCTTCAAATGGCTTGGTATCTTCTTGGACTTGTACAGAATATTTTTGGACTCTTTGGGCTTGGATCTTCAGCCCATTTATTGAGAATACAATTTTCAAATATCTCCTTGGTAGCTCATATGTTAGCACATGAAGTCTTTGGTGTTGGACAACGTAAACTCCATAACAATACGACGTTTTAGTGCTTGTTGTCGTTATCGCATCCTTTGCATTGTCTAGATCATTTTCGGTTGTTTTGATCAGCCAATCTTCGACATATGCATTGATATTTGAACGTAGACTTTGATTCATTTGTCTTGTAAGTGAAGGTGTGGGATTGGTTATTATGATAAGCTCGGTGTTCACTTCTTCTCCTCTTATAGCGTCAACGGTATCGTCTTGCTTCTCGTTCGGTTTTTGTTTGTCATCGTCCATATTGATGTTGGAGGATTTTTGGGCTGCATCATATAGTCTAATATCCACACAATATTTGGATCTCTCTCGTTTTATAGTTCGTTCGATTCGTTCCTATATCTCTTTCATTTAGAAATTTGTCAGAATCCGTTTTTTATCTATGTCTTTTCGCACCAACGATATCACAATGTATATGTATATATATATATATATGTACGTATGTGTGTGATTTAGGAGAAAAAAAGATTCAGAATCTAGAAATCCAATATGAAATCATTGATTTTCACGAGGAGAAAATCATTGATTTTCACTAGGAGGAAATCATTATGGGACGAGGCTAAAACGTTAATCTAATTAAGTATCAAATCAACCTTCCATAAAAACTATAGGATGAGTTTATAATTTTGTTTTCGAATGAATGTTTGTGAGATTTTATATATGTACGGAAAAAACTAAAAGTAAGAGAATAATGATGTTATAAGAATCCTTAATATTTATCATTATGAAGATTCTTACACTTGGGATTTCCTGACTTTGGTCAATACGATCTATTGTTATAGTCCAATAAAATAAATGGTACATTATTAGTATATGTTAATTATGAAATAAGAGAACTGTAAATGTTATATATGTAAACAATTGTATAGAAGAGATTACCAAACGGTAATACAGATATTAGAGTTCATAATAGCAAAACAAAATAATGAACCTAAGGAGAATGAAAGTGAAATAAGTCATAGAAGCATACAAGTGGTAGCTAGAAGTGGTATATTGTAAGTGGTTGGTGTTGCACGGTAATATTCACTACGGTCTACCTTTTTCATTTCGAGCTTCCCCGATTAATGTGAAATCTATGGGATCAAGTGGGGTGTTGACAAAACGAGGATGCAGAATACGTTGGCCTACTTAGACTGTAGCGATAGCGGAGGAATGCGCTCGTAAAATTCTTTGTATTTCTGCCACTAGTTCCTCATTTGAATCAAAGCAGAATTTTGAACAAGTATTATTTTCAATTAGATAGATTTCACGGTTTGGTTGCTGCAGAACCTTATTTCCACGGAGAAAGTGAGACACTTGGAACTGATTTTTCAATTGTATGTAATTATAAATATTGATATTCCTTTCATAAAACAAACTTATTATTTTAATGATTTATGCGACTCCTATAAACCAATCAAAAGTTTAGATTCGGTCCAAATGCACAACCAAACTGACATACCAATTTATACTCGTTATGCACAAAAGTCGCCGAATAACGAAGCTTGAATTATTTATAATCTGCATTGTTTCATAAAAAAGGGTCTAAAAACTATTAATTTGAACAAAATGGTCCCCTTTTTTTTCTTAAAAATTAACAAATTTGGATTCGGATTCTGCTATTTTTTTTTTGGTCGGCTTATCGAGTAGATCTTTATAAGGTACCGAGACACCAGCAAAAGTTGTCATAATGATGAAAAGGGGTTTATAGAGTTTGGTTTTATATGATATTTTGTATCTTGTGGACAAGATATTTTGAGTTTTAGAATATTATCTTTGGATTTGATTTTTTTTTTAAAGTTTTTTTAAAAAAAGTAAACCAATTCACTTTTTATCTGAGTTCTAGATTTAGTTAGAATTCGATTTTTAATTAAAAAATATTTTTTTTCTTTTGTCATTTGTCATTTTTTTGTTGGTTTCACATTTTTAATTTGATTTAAAATATAATACTAATCGATTTTCAGATTAGATTTGTTATGTATTATTAGCTGCGAATATAATTATAATTATTCATTTTGAATCAATTCGGTTTTACATAATATATATACACACACGCATATATATATATATACACACACTAAATGGCTTGGGATAATAAATTTCCAACTCATTTAGAAAATGAAAAACCCCTTCTAGTCGAGATTGTGAGTTTGATTTCATTTGATATCTGAGCTTTTTCTGAACTGATCACTTTCGGCTGGTTTGTCTGATTCGCGTGGTTTACCGATTATTGTACAAGCGGCGGAGGGTTTATTGTCCGAGATATTATCCGATCCACGAAATCAAATGAGGTCCGGTTTGAAAGGCTGTCCGTTACCAAAAAAAAATATCTCTAATTGGCACTGTTGAGTTAGATATGGAAAAACATTAACTATGATGGGCAAAAATGGATTCCGTAAAACATGCCATTGGCCTACTTGTACGGCTCTGCGTTATACTATGAATCAAGATTCAAAGCGAATCAATCAATCATTGATTACGTGAGTTAATGTTTTTTTCTTACAAAAAAAATAAAATGAAACCGATTTAAATTAATATATATCGTGGGTTTAAAAGAGAGTTTATGCGGCCTTATTATGGGTCGAAAAAAATTGAATAATTTTTTATTATTAATTACGCGATTTCCGAGAATGGTCGGAGTCGGTATCTCTAATATCAAGGGAAAACACAATGCTCCATAAGCACATTTCTTATTGTTAGCGGCAAAAGAAATACACTTCTTTATATCTTTTGAAGGTGAGTCTCATTTTTCCTCTTTTATTTTATTTTATATTATTGTATAATTTTATTTTATCCTCACTTTTGTTTAATTATATGATTTTTTAAAAAATAATCGGATTTAGCATAATTTTTTGTGTTTGAATTCGGTTATTTTATTTTATTGATTTCGAATTTTTATTCTTATAGATTATTTTTATTCAATATTTCAACTTTTTTATATTTTTTTTCAATTAGTTTAACTTTTAAAAAAGTTGATATATAAATTAGTCGTAGTCGGGATCTCAAATACCGAGTAAAAATCACAATGCTCCATAAACACATTAGAGAGGCAAAATGTTGGAGGGAGAGAAGAAGAGAAATCCACCTTTTGAAATATTTCTTTTTGTTACTATATTTTTTTTATTGTTTTATATATTTTTATTTTGTTCGTCATGGCTTGTCTTCGGATCCTTGTTCCCTTGTGTTTGATTTTCCAATTTTTTTTTTCCTGGCTTTGTATTTGAAAAACCAGAATTGAAATTTATTTTTGTTAAATATTAATAATAATAACCAGAGGGTGCGCTCCATCTTTTGTCTCTCTCTCTCTCCATGACATCATTTTGTCTTGTGATTCAGTTCTTCACGAGGTTGTGTCAGATGGGTTCTTTTACTAAATTATTTATTTATTTTGTTTATCTTATTTCCTTTTCTAACCAATAATTACTGCCCTGAAACCAAACTCTATCATACAAATCTCTAAACCAAGTCTAAATATAAATCATTTCACTTCATTCATTTTGTTTTAAATTTCGGTACAATGGGTTATCACTACTTTTCTGTAATAAATTTTAATATATTTTTATAAAAATCTAGTTATTTTGCAACAAAAAAAGGGCTCTAGATAAATCTTTTATTTTTATATAGTTATTTCTTGTCATAGTTAAACTCTACAAAGTGTCAAGTCCAGTTTTGAATCCCCAACCGAAATAAACATATATATATATAGAATTCTTGAACATTAACGATCTTTTACATCAATATATTTTAAACTTTGATACAAATATTTTTTTGTTGTAATAAGAAATCAGTTTCCTCTATTTTTAGTTATTAACCCTGTGACGATTTTCTTATAACAACGAAATGTTAATCTTTTACCGTCTCAAAACAAAAAATTCTGAAATAAAGAATCCTTGTAGAGGAAATTTTATAATAAGTCCAATCGAATTGCCATCGTTAGATTTAAATTCAAAAAATATTTTATTTATAAATGAGATCCAGAAAATATTAATTTTCAACAATCTCTCTCTCTCTCGAGTTCTTGTCTTTTATTTTTTCTTAACTAAAAACATCCTTTGTTGTCTTCAGTTTCAGTGCCATGAAATTTGTTTCCCTCTCCGTTTCCACATTTATAAAACTTTCTTCTGGGTACTTGTGATTTCTCATCATCATCTCTCTGTATCCAAATCACAAACCTTTCTTCATTCTCTGAAGTCGAAGAGAGGAGGGAGAAGAAAAATGGGCAAAGCAGCGCGATGGTTCAAGGGCTTGTTCGGGATGAAAAAGAGCAAAGACAGAATCTCCGGTGGAGAGAACAGAAACTCCGGCGGAGATTCCGTCAACATTCCGGGGAATATTCTTCCGGCTGTCGACCCAGCTTGGCTGAGAACATACCTCGCGGAGACAGATAAGGAGCAGAGCAAACACGCGATTGCGGTTGGCGCCGCCACCGCCGCAGCGAGGAAAGTTTCAGGCCAAAC